CAGCAGGCTGTAGAGGACCTTGTCCAGGTGGGTCTTGAATATCTCCAGAGAAGGAGACTCCACAGCCTCCCTGGGCAGCCTGGGCCAGGGCTCCGTCACCCTCAGAGGGAAGAAGTTCTTCCTCGTGTTCAGCTGGAGCTTCCTCTGCTTCAGTTTGTGCCCGTTGCCCCTTGTCCTGTCGCTGGGCACCACTGGAAAGAGTCTGGCCCCGTCCTCCTGACACCCACCCTTCAGATACTTATAGGCATTTATTAGGTCCCCTCTCAGCCTTCTCTTCTCCAGGCTGAACAAGCCCAGCTCCCTCAGCCTCTCCTCGTAGAAGACATGCTCCAGTCCCCTCATCATCCTTGTAGCCCTCCGCTGGAGTCTCTCCAGTAGCTCCTCATCTTTCTTGAACTGGGGAGCCCAGAACTGGACACAACACTCCAGATGGGGCAACTGTCACCAGGGAAGCGATGCGTGTGGAAAGAATCCCAGGCCGGAGGGGCCCGTGTCCCCACCGCAGTGCAGGGGGTGTGGGGTGGCCTGTGTGGAGAGCAGCGATACCTTAGGGATGGTCGCGCACGGGGCGTTTGACGACAGGTAGGTTTCGCAGGCCTGGATCCTCAGTGCTGCCGGCCATCTGCCTGCCGTCCCGCCGCCCGAGCGCCTGAGGAACCTGGCTCTTCCTTCCCCGCGACTGCTCGCATGGCACAGCTCGCTGCCGCCGCAAACAGGGGCGCGGAGGGGAAGTGAGCCTCAGCAGGGCGCGTGTTCTACGCTGCAAACCACTTCCTACGGCTTTTATTCAGCGACAGAGCAGAAGGGAATACTGTGCTCGCTGCTCTCCCGCTCGGTATCGACGGAATGGGTTCTGGGTGCAGCTGTGGCACGACACCTGCTCTGGAGCCGTTCGTCCTTTCGCGCTGACTGCCGGGCACGAAACGCGGGGCAAACAGCCGAGGGAAAAAACCCCATTTTGTACCGCTTTTCTCTCCCTGTTATTTTAATGTATTGTGTTAAAAACAGAAACAAGCCAACGTGCAGAAAAGTCAAACCGCGGTCAATGGACAAATCGCTGAACTGCTCCGCGTGGGTCTCACTGCCCTGCGAGACGCAGCGGAGTCAAAGCCTCCGTCCACAGCAACGAGCTGACCCCACACCGGTGAACTGAAGTTCCGTTTCTCCCCGTGAGAGTTTTCCAGCAAGGCACGCTGAGTAGCCCAGGTCGTCACCCGGCATGCTCCCAACAGTCGGGGCCTTTGTTTATTTATTAGATTATACAGCAAAGAGTGCATGCCGAGGAAAGCAAGCACTACGTGAACTGTAACTTTAAACAAAGCAATACATTAT